TTTTTGTCAACAAAATATGGCCAATAATGTGTCGCCAGACTGAGATTAAAGTTAGCAGTGCTTGAAGAATAACCCATAATCACAACCCATCCAGAGAGGTTGGAGAAAATTATAAACCCATGCAAGCATGGGGGACACAACTACACACAGAAACACCCAGGAGACTGATGAGACAGCAGTATTAATCCCGGTGACACTATGCTGCCCTTCAAGAAAGGGAAAAGATAGGAAATGAAGACGGGTAAAAGAAGAGGAAAAATAAGGTTGGTTGAAAAAAAATATTGTCTTTTTTTTTTTGAGTTATATAAAGGTGTCCAAGGCCTACATTTCAGTACAATGCTTCCCTCTTATAATAGCTGCTGTTATATAATGCTAATAAAATACAGTACTGTGCAAGCCTTGAGTCATCCCTCCTTCCTTCATATTTTGCATCTAAGCCAGACTTTGACATTTTTAAAGTGGTCATTTGCAATAGTTACAATAGACTTCGTGAAGGTCACCTTCTGTTCAAGGAACTAGATTAGGATGATTTGAGTGTTGTGGCATTTTGAGCCATCCTTCTTGCAGCAGTCATCAGAAGATGTGCACACTGGTGATAAAATGATGGACATGGTCAGCAACAATAGTCAGGTATGCTGGGCCATTTAAACAATGCTCAATTGGCACTACAGGGCCCAAAGTGTGCCAGGATGATATGTGTGTTAACACCTGGAGAACACACATGTCAAGCATTAGAAAAAACATGAATTAGTAACCAGTTTTTATATTGTGAATTTTGAAACCACAGACATGTAATATTTTTCTGAAAGGTTGAAATAAAAGCCTTTTAAGAAATGAAATGCTCCTGTGCAGTATATACTGAGTTTGTACAACAGCATAATCAATGGAAGAGTGCCAGGCACTATGACTGGATTGTGATATCAGAAGGAAGAAACTTGTTTTCAGCAGTCAAGGTAAATAAAGACACTTCAAAAATAATATTTCCTTATGTATTTACTAAAAGCAGCAGTTAGTTTAAATCACTGACCGGTTTGTCTTTCTTGCCTTAAATGCACATTGGTGAATACTGAATTTCACATTTCTGTACACCCAAACGGCACTAAGTTGTCATGGTCTTAAAACTCAACTGCAGCACTGCGCTGTTGAATGAGTGCAGGATTTCCTAATGAAGCCGATACTTACAGAATCAAAACTTGTGTCCACTGCGGCATACTCATCATTTTGTTCGCAATTTATAAGACAGTAATTACCCTCAGATATTTTAGTGTCATTCAAGAGTGAAAAGCATGACTGTGCCAAAATTTGATTGTCCGAGTTTTTCCAAAACTTCACATTTTATTCTCTTCTATGCTATCAATAGTACTTAATTTTTGGGAGAACACATAACATTTCAAAGAGGAGGTTGGCCCCAGTCAATGCAGTGTTTCCTGTTGACAGAATGGAAGAAAAAAAATTAAATGAATAAGAGGCCAAGAGGGAAAAAATACATTAGAAAGAAAATTGGAATTTCAAAAGAATTTAAATGTTAAAAAAGCACCTGTGGTGTCGTAGGGTGGTGACACCTCCACTAGATCACATCCAACAAGGTTCAGACCACGGCATCCCCGAATAATCTCAACTCCCTAAATCCAATTGTGACGATTGATTGAAAAAATGAATTAATAATGCAGCAGAAAAGACAACATTTCCTTGCCTGGTGTATGTAGTTTTTTTATATATAGCTAGTAACTAGTATAGTAAACTTTGAGGTGTCTTTAGCACTTTGATTACCTGTATGGGAGTGAGCCCTGCTATCTCAGGTGTGCCTGTTCCAGGAGCAAAGCCAGGGTCAAGAGCATCAATGTCAAAACTGAGGTATACTGGACCTTTGCCCATCTGATTCCTGACCTCATCCATTAAAGGCGCAAGAGATTTGTACCAACACTCTTCCACTTGCACAACACGGAAGCCCTAGGCGAGTAGAAAAAAAAACATAGTAGCCTTGTTATGAGAAAATTATTTTGAGACATATGGCATCTCTGAGTCAGTGCCATAATATGCCCTTGTTCTAGATGAATGCATTTGCATCTTGTTGTCAAAAAACAAGCACAAAAAAGATATAAAATATACCAATTATTAGCATAGATTCTTGCAGCTTTATATTAATCCAGTTATACAGCATTTACTCCCCAGACAAAATGCCAAAACCATTATGTTGAATTTATTTGAGGCATTTCCCTATGGGGAACAAGCAAGTAAAGGTTTATTTATACAACGCCAAAAAATATATGCTAAACATAAGCATGCTTTACACACATGAAACGGTAACCTAGCAGAGTACCTGTGCCCGACTCCATTCATATGAGTCGGGAGAATAGCCTGAACCCCGAAGGCCAATCTGGACCACTCTCTTGCAGTCCAGTAATCCTTCCTCCACACATCGTCTGAATGGAGTCCCATGGCCTATTTTCTCCCCCAATATCACATCACTGGTGTCAGCATGAGCATCCACATGGATCAAACCCACTGGGCCATGCCTAACAAATTATCACAGGAACAAGGGCATGGGGGTATAAAATGGTTAAAGAGGAAGTTCATGTTCATCAGTGGCAGCTACATATATATTAACTGAGGACTTTTCCTGCATTCTCAGTAAACCCAATTTACACAAAACAGTATTCTTTAATTTGATTGCATTCTCAGATTGTAAAGTCAGCAAATACAAGAATGCATAACTCAAGCGACGCCTGAATCGTGCATTTTTGGATTTGTAGGCTGTACAGTTTTGGAAGTTTGAGGGAAAAATTCTTAATAGCCGTGTTAAGTCACACAGTTCAACACAGATCAAAACAATGTTTATTGTATCCTAAAGTGTGTAAAAAGGTAGTACTGTATCAGCAGTCTCAACTTCAAATAATTTGCATCACATATAGTTCCTAGGAATAAAGCACACTTACTTCTCAGCAACGGCTTGCAGGATTGGGTAAGCAATAGTGTGATCGCCACCTGCAGACAAAACTTCCTTAAAATCCGACCTTTGATCAAATCTTCTCTTTGGTTTATAGAGCTATCTAAATGGCTTATAATTGAACATGTATTACAACACTGTGCTTTGTTAAATATTTATTGAGCTATCTTTGACTATCTGTGCAACTGTCTGAATAACAATCATTTGAGCAAGGGCACTTTTAGAGCGTTTTCTTCACCCCTAGAGATCAGTTTTCTTCTCACCCATAGTTAGTGGGATGCAGCCAGTGGCCAGGATCTTTCTGTAGGCCTCCCTGATGCGTTTGCAAGTGTCTTTCAGGTCATATACATTAACGTTCACATCCCCAATATCAGCAACCATGAGGGACTCATAAGGTGCTGCCCTGGTGCCACTGTTGTAAGCCCTCAGCATGGCCGACTCAACTCTGATCTGTCGTGGGCCAAACCTGTGAACCAGAATGACAGCTATGATTGTTCAAGCACAATGGCTGCTGCTTGGATTTTGCTTTTTTTTTATTGTGACAATTTTTAACCTTGATGGCATGAAAATAGTGCTTACTGTACACAGTAAGGTATTGGGTGGTCAAAAATGAATTTGGACGTTTCAGCTTTTGTACATTCCCTGCAGCTGAGGATTTCAGTTGCCTATATATGTCTCAATTGTGTACAAGATGGTCTGTGAAGTTTTGCACAACATGAGGATAAGATTAATTTAGTCACTTATTGCTAAAGTGAAACTTAAATCTATCTTTAAACGCCTGAAAACAGCAGCTTTGTTATGCATGCATCCAATGACAGTCTACGGAGCAGCAGGCCCATACGTTTAAATATTAGCTGCAGAGAAAAACACTACCTTGCGCCAGGTCGGTTCGAGGTCCCGGTATCAATTGGGACGCCAACAAACGCTGCATCAAGCCCTTCTGCGGTGTCCTGGTAAGGTAATTTGGCCATGGTGGGGATCCCGGCCACCCTGGCAACAAACTCGGCGCTCGGTGGTACATTGTAGCGTTTCCCTGAGCACTTTCTGTTCGGATTTATGCAAAGGCCTCGTCTGTCGCTGCAAAGAGCCAAGGTCTGTCGTGGCTGCAAGGCGAAAAAGTCCGCTGCTGCAGCGGTAATGGTACGACTTAAATGGAAGTTTATCCGAAGCGAAGACATGCCTGCTAACTTGAGCGTAAAGTTGTGTCAGCATGCCTTTAAAGGACTTCTGCCACTTTAGTGCTTTGTTGTATGCTCGTAATATTTTGTTTTGCGTCGAGCAGCGTAATGAAAAAGTATAGTTGAACAGTATTTATTTAATTTATTAATTTGCACTGTACACACTGTGATATTGGATGCACAAATTGATTCTTATTATACAGGTTAAGCAATGCACATCTTTATTAGGCGACTGATTAATTCATTACTTTTCTTACAGGTCTTATAAGTCACAGAATGATTCGGAGCCCTGAAAGCAGCACGAGTCTGCAATTGAGTAATCTAGGGAGTAACCAGCTGTGACCGTCTATCAGGAAGAGAAGGAACAGCGTTATGAATGATTGATAAACAAAACTATGAAGAATATAAAGTAACTAAAGTAGTTATAATACTCTCGATCGACAGTTCTATGATTTTTGCCAATGACTTCATTAAAGTAGAATGTAGAAGAAAATATATAGGGAAAAATGCAATATTACAGCTGTGATAAGATTGAAATTTAACAGGAAGCCAAATTTGTAATTTCAAAGCTTTCTACGTCAGCCAAGCCATTTGTTCAATGTAAACGACCACATAAGTGGAGTTCAACGGCTGAAATATTTGTCATTTTCCTGAATTAAGCCTTTTTTATTTTATTCTCTCGGATCTCCAAACAATATAGCTTTCATTGTGATGCCGTGGCTTTACTCAATATATCAGGTTTCTGGCTAATTGCATTGATTTACACAAGCAAAGCGAATACCTTTTTTTTTTTTTTTAATTTATTAGAAAAAGGACATCCGAGGGTCTTGCCTTCTACCAGATTTTATGAAATTCTGCTCTCTTTTTGCACAGTCCTGTATTATATTGTCCTGCATAATCCTACCGACTCACGCCTTAGCGGAGGAGGAATTAGCTCCCGAAAGCCTCTTATCGCACATTGGAGGTTCTGAATGGGAACAATTACTGCGCCAGGCGGAGAAGGGTTTTCAGTTTGTGCACTTCACCTGTCCTCCTGAAGAGGCAGAGCGAAGATCGTCATCACAACAGCCTCAGACACCGAGCACCTCAGTCGCAGACACTCCTCTGGCTTGTCTCATTACATTGCCTAATACCGACAAGCAATTATGGTAAGCGAGACTTTAATTTTTAACATTTGAGATGCTTATTTGTTACTGTTTAAGTCTAACAGATGTGGAAATTAAACTAGGTCGTTTTTTCAGATCTGTTTCTTTCCAAATTACTGCAACCGTGCTTGTTGCCATGCAGTATTCCGCAGCTTACTGTGATCATACATCGTTTTAATTGCGAATAGAAATAGTGTGAGATGTCGTCAGTTCGTTAAGTTCGTACTTAAATGATGAATTACGTTCATATGGAAGAGCCTGATCCTTATCCTACACAACTCCTGTAAATCATCTTAGTCTTGATCACTAGACTTGTCCACTTGCCTTCCATTGGCTCCCTTATCAATTTCTGAACACGATCTCCAGCCATTTAACACAACGTGTATGTAAATGGATGTTACATAAATGCAGTGTCCTCTTTTCTACAAATAATTATGTCAGTGACATAATACACCATATTGTGTTTGTGTGTTATATAAAACTAAGCCATCCCTAATATCATATATGCTTAAAAATATACTATAAAATCAAATACAGCACAAATTGTGTTACATATAACCCCATTGGATGATCTGAATGTCTTTTTAAAGAGCCAGCACACTGCAACATGTCTGACCTAGATAATCCTCTCTGTCTACAGTAATCCTGCAGTAGGCAGTTTTATGTCGCAGCACAAAATGCATGGGCTTCTGTAAAATAAATGGCAGACTGAGACTCAATCCAAATGTTATAATAGAATATAGAAAATGTATTATTAACGGTTTCTTGTGCAAGGTAGGGAAAATGTAATTTAAGCAGTTGTGTTAAAGGCAATTTAAAATACAGTGATTGTTTCATTTGTGAGCCCGATTAATGTGTTTTATCCCTCCTTTTTTTAATTAGCAAAAACTGTTCTGAAAACTGGTTATCTTCAGCAAGTGGAAGACTCGTCTTTGTTTTTAATCCAAATCTTTTTTTCCCCTTACACTAGCGTGAGTGTATTTCCATCCACGTTGGTCAAGCTGGTGTCCAAATTGGCAATGCCTGCTGGGAGCTTTACTGCCTGGAACATGGGATCCAGCCAGACGGTCAGATGCCCAGTGACAAAGCCATTGGTGGTGGAGACGATTCTTTCAACACCTTCTTCAGTGAGACTGGAGCTGGAAAGCACGTCCCCAGAGCTGTTTTTGTCGACTTAGAGCCCACTGTCATCGGTAAACTTCTAGAAATAAACTTATCGCTGTTGCCTCTTTAATTTGTTAAAACCCTTACATAATTTCTTAATGGTGGTTTTTTGTAGATGAGGTGCGCACTGGGACCTACCGCCAGTTGTTCCACCCTGAGCAGCTGATCACTGGCAAGGAGGATGCTGCTAACAACTACGCCCGTGGACACTACACCATTGGCAAAGAAATCATTGACTTGGTTCTGGACAGGATTCGTAAACTGGTGGGTAAATCAGAGCAGAAGAAGCCTGGATAAATGACCTAACTGATGGGTATATCTCTTATCTGGTTGCTGTCTCTCCCTCTCTCTCCTCAGGCTGATCAGTGCACTGGTCTTCAGGGCTTCCTGGTTTTTCACAGCTTCGGCGGTGGCACCGGCTCTGGTTTCACCTCCCTGCTGATGGAGCGTCTGTCTGTCGACTACGGCAAGAAGTCCAAGCTGGAGTTCTCCATCTACCCAGCTCCCCAGGTGTCCACCGCTGTGGTGGAGCCCTACAACTCCATCCTGACCACCCACACCACCCTAGAGCACTCTGACTGTGCATTCATGGTAGATAACGAGGCCATCTATGATATCTGTCGTAGGAACCTCGATATCGAGCGTCCTACTTACACCAACCTGAACAGGCTGATTGGTCAGATTGTGTCCTCCATCACTGCTTCCCTCCGCTTTGATGGTGCCCTCAATGTTGATCTGACAGAGTTCCAGACCAACTTGGTGCCATATCCCCGTATCCACTTCCCCCTGGCCACCTATGCTCCAGTCATCTCTGCCGAGAAGGCTTACCACGAGCAGCTCTCAGTGGCTGAGATCACAAACGCCTGCTTTGAGCCAGCCAATCAGATGGTGAAATGTGACCCTCGCCACGGCAAGTACATGGCCTGTTGCCTTTTGTACCGTGGTGATGTGGTACCCAAAGATGTCAACGCTGCCATTGCCACCATCAAAACTAAGCGCTCCATCCAGTTTGTGGACTGGTGCCCCACTGGTTTCAAGGTTGGCATCAACTACCAGCCCCCCACTGTGGTTCCTGGTGGAGATCTGGCCAAGGTCCAGAGGGCTGTGTGCATGCTGAGCAACACAACTGCTATTGCAGAGGCCTGGGCTCGGCTCGACCACAAGTTCGATCTGATGTACGCTAAGCGTGCCTTTGTTCACTGGTACGTGGGTGAGGGTATGGAGGAGGGAGAGTTCTCCGAGGCCAGAGAGGACATGGCAGCTCTGGAGAAGGATTATGAGGAGGTGGGAGTTGATTCTATTGAGGGTGAAGGAGAAGAGGAAGGAGAGGAGTACTGAAAGGGTCACGAGGGATTATACAGGAAACTTCAGTGTGTTCCTAAATACATTCCAGTCTATTTATTACCTGTTTGAGTTTGTTCAGAGTATAAATTATTAAAATGCTAATATGGCTCTGTCTTAAATAAAGTTTCTGAAAAATGAAGTCTTGTATCAAACTTTTTTTTGCATAACCTTTAAGTTGTGAGGGATTTTTAGAGAAACAATTTTAGTTTGTCCAAGATCACATGGAAAAATCCACGTGAAATCTGCTTTGGAACTCCAAGAAAAAGACATTTAAGATCAGGCCGCAACTTGTTATTTCACAAACAGTGCTAATAATATTCATCATCAAAATTTAAAAAAAAAAAGTATGGATATTACTATATCACCAATACGAGTTATTTATTTTGAAAATATCTAAAGACAAAGGAAAGAACTTGAACAACCACTTCAGGGCTCTTTAACACTTTTATTCTGAAACACTGCAAAAAAATCAACATATATCTAAAATCCATCTTATAATCTTTTGTAGGAAGCCATATACATGCATCCCTTTCATTCTTTTTGACAGTAGATTATCCTAATATGAAGGATTAAGTCCCAATATTTCAATTATTATGAAATCTGTATATTATATTAGCTGAAAACCACAGCTCTGAACAGGTGCAAAACATGAGCATAAAGTGCAAACAGCAACAATGTGGAACAAAGTCAGATCAGATTACTCATGCATGACACATCAGGATCAATGTGATTCATATGTTCTAGCATTTAGGACAGGTCTATGTTCCTTAGCTGTGAAATATCAGTGTACAATTGACTGCAACACACGGCAACCAGATCTTCAAGGGGCAACTTTATGGACTGTTTCCTACTTGTGAACCTTTCACTTGGTCTTACCCTACACAGTAGAGTCTAACTTTATCTGTATTGACCTCCACATTTACTGGTACAAAAATTTTTCATAGTTGCAAAAATAACTGCATGAATGTGAGTTTTTGTTTGGTTTTTTCCCCACAGGCTGATTTGAAAAAGTGTATCATAATTTGGAAAACAAAATATCCACTCACATAATAGAATTTCTTGCTGCGAAGCAACTCAAATGTTGGGAAAAATTAAACACAATCACTCCCCAGCAGCTGTCTCAGTAATCCACAATGCATTGCATGTGTGAGACAAACTGCATTTTTGTATGATGGGTACCAATAACACTTGAATGTTTGAAGTGCTTGAATTCCTGCTGATACAGTGATGATGGCAAGTGAAACATATTCACAAGTATGTGAGAAATGCAGATAAGTAACATTAGCAGCATTAGAGGACACAGGTTTGAGGGTCGGGTTCTTGAAAAGGGAGAATTACACCACTTGGCAATTCATGATAAATAATCAAACAATACCCACAGCCATTAGATGTTACAGCTAAAACAATAAATACCACACATACAGAAGTCTGAGTATTGAAAGCAATTTTAAGCCCCAGTTTATCCATATCAGTGACTCTCAGCTACGTGTTTGAGTAAATCTAGACAGACAGCACGCAGGCCTGGCTCTGCTCTCGCCCATAGAGGAGGAAGCCTACAGCAGTGCGCAGGTCCTCCAGCTCTAAGTTAGCCAGGAAACCCCTCTGAAGCTCCGCCTCCACTTTGTTCCCACTGGGCCCCTGACAGCCCTTAAGGAGAACCACAGCAGACTGGCAGAGCAACCAATCAGCCAGCTTCCTCATGCCCACACTGTCCTGGTTAGCCAGAGCCTTCCGACCCCAGAGGCTCAGATGTAGCATGTTAGCTGCCACACGGGCAGTGGGGCGCTGCAGAGTATGAAGAACATGTTTCAGTAGTGGAATAGTAGAGATGCCTTCTCAGGTAAATCTACAGAAAATGTTAACTTCACAATTCCCCTTAGTGTTGAGAGAATTGTGACTTTTTTTTAGTTCAATGTTTCGGTTTAATAAATGAAACTATATTGTTTTAGCTCTCTTTTACTGAAAACTTAAATATTAAACTAAACACAGCCACTTCTTTACCTTGTTTGGGTTCCTCCTGAGAAGTAAGCGTATCACGAACTGCACATCAGCTGGAACACTGGAGGGTAGAGGAGGAAGCTGCTTCTCCTGGTAATTCCTGCTCTCCAGTCCCACTGCTCGATAGAATGGATTTTGCTGTCCAAATATCTCGTAGGAAATGGCTCCCACGGCCCAGGCATCTGCCTTGCTGTAGTCAAGCACCACACCACATCCTGGAACTGCAGTGGCCACCTGATGGCAGAATAATTATGAGAAATTAAATTGATTAAATATCTGGTTAACTGCAAATGATCTATTTATATGAATTCTTATTTATCTTAATGATTCATTTCAAAACACAAAGACACAATTAGGTTACTTGAATGGTATCCAAGTGTCACCTCTGGTTATAACCAGAGTGGAGGCAAAAGTCACAAAATTAGTCACCAATAAGAGACGGCGCAGCAACTGTGGCTACTTAGTTACAATAACGACATTTTTAAGCCTACCTCTGGAGCCATAAGTGAAGCATTCCCTCCTTTGCTGACCCAAATGCTGTTGAAGGGCAGCTGCAGACTAGAATCGCTCTGGGCCAGACAGCATCCAAAGTCAGAAATCACTAAACGGGGGCAACCATCTGCATAAAGGAGAAATCAATATAACACCGGTGACCCAAACAGACCTCAAGTTGGCATAGTTTACATTTGGCTTTAAACTGTTCTGTTATTGACAGAATTTTGTTTGGACCTGAGTCGAATTCCAACAGCACGTTGTCTGATTTTAGATCCCTGTGAGCGACACCCTCTCTGCACAAATGGTCAATCCCCTCAAGGAGCTGCAGCACCATCAGAGTGCCCTGCCTGCGGCTTGGTGTGGACATTTCCAGGTACTGCCTCAGTGTGCATGGATAGCTATGACACAAAAAAATCTGTGAAGTTACTGAATAAAAATGACCTGACAAGTACACTATAAAAAAACCCCCAACAAAATAATGAAAATCTCTAAAAACAAAGACAGTGACTTTTTTTTTTTTTTTACAATGTTTCTAGCACACATACTGGGTTGGACTGAGGTAGGTAGGAAGGTAAGTCTTACTTCTTCATGACCAGGAAAAGAGTGCGATTGTTGCCCAGGCCTGCAGGGTTAAGCCTGGGTGGCAAAACATCTGGATATTCCTCCTGAGCACCTGGTAGCAATGGAACATCTGCAGTAAAAGCCCGGTACACTCGGATTACATTAGGGTGTGTTGACACTCTTTTGGGGAGGACTCCGAAATGTCTGCATGTAGAGAAATCACAGCCATTCGTTAGTATGTTTCCTATCCTTAGGTCACCACTCTGAGGCAGGAATAAAAAGAACTGAGGTTATAATACTTACCCATCCAGAGTAATTTCTTCTATTTCCTGCTTTAAGGCCTGAGGACCTGCAGGGACCAGCTCCTGAGACATAGACTTTAAGATGGCCTCACTTGATGACCCAGCCTGCAAACAAATAGCAAAATACCCGTCGGTACTGATGTGTGGCTCTTTTTCGTTTGTTTTCATACAGAGGGTTAAAACCTAAAACAGATGTGAAATCATCATCAAACCATTAGTATACTACCCACCCCAAAGTTCCACATCATCTTAATAGCAAAAGGGAAGTTCCTTAGTGAGCAGCATGTCAGAGATCGAGGTGCCTCAGTTTCCACTTCACCTTCTTTTATCTGCACCAGGGAGCATTTTCTGGCACTTTGCTTTGGAGGAGCAAACTGAGCTGCAGCCTCATACACAGCTGCATTGGAGCCTTTCCCAATCTGGTTCCCTAGAATGTAATCCTCCAGTTTATATCCAGAGGTGAATGGCTTAAGTGGACTCTGGAATTTCTTCTTTCTAAAAACAGCCTGCAGGGGAAAGCAATAATAATAATAATAATAATAATAATAATAATAATAAGCTACACAAAGATATGTTCATATCAATCACGTGCTATAAACAAATTTAGTCAAGAAAAAAAAGGAAAAACAATCAACAGACTGTATACAACAACTTTTTAAATCCCCCAAATGTACCTACACTTGTTATAGATGCGGCTTGAGACATATTAAAATAATAAAAAGTAAATTAATGCAAGATTGCAACCAAGTTATCCATTCAGGCCTCAGTGCAAACAGCAGACAAATTAAAGAACGTACACAAATCTCGTGTCTATGCATTACCGTATCAACAAAACATTCATAAATGTAAAAACAATATGCAGAATTGGTGAAGATACAAATAAACAAACTTTCAGTTTAAAAAAAAAAAAACAATCCGGCAAATAACTATGAAAATAAAGACTAAAAGAAAAACGGCTACTAACAAACCAGTTTGTCAGAAGCTACTACACTTAACGACTTAAATGTCGCTTAAGTACCCTACTGTGACCTACTTTTAGATACCATACCTGGATCTCCTGGCATGTTGAAGCACTCTTTCTGTCATCCTCCAGCTGTTGTTCGATAAGCCCCACACCGAGACCGAAAGCCAAAAATACAGCTCTGTTACGCGGGGACCCGCCAGCAAACCTCCTGAAGCCGGCGGACTGAAGCTGAGCTGCCAGGCCTTTCAGAGAAGTGCGGTAATAGCGGTACCGAGACGGCAGGAAAGCCTGAGGCTGAGCGGTGCGGACCGACGGGCCTGCACGGAAACGGTCAGCTCGGAGCTTTGCTGCGAGTCGGCCACCGGATTTCAGGAGACCGAGCTGAAAGACCGACCGGCCCAACTCGAGTCCCCGGCTAATAGCGTGTTTCACAGACATAATTTACCCGGACAGGTAACTTAAGCTGCTACCACGGAGTTTTACTTCTGCCTAGCTCTCTACACCTAGCTCTCGAAAGGACAGCGTTATGTAAACAAAACAATAACTGCTGCTGCTGAGCATGCGCAAACCTTTAGACTGTCTTCTTTTCGTTTACCGGAGGGTGGCGTTTAGCGATCAGGGGACGTATCAGGGTATAAGCACAAATGCATTTATTAATCATGTCACAACAACAGGATCACCAGAGGTTCAATTTATGCGGGGCTGCCGAGCACATTTGTCTCTACTCTAGTCTAGTCTTCTGGATCTAGTTTACAAACGTCAACACGCAAACTGTATATTTTAAAAAAAATGTATAACAACCCAGTCCCCAATGGCATTTAAAAGGTTGTTTACAGCCTGACACAAAAATGTTTGAATAGTTTCTCCCTCCTTAACTACTCAAGGTGATGTAGATTTTTTTCTTTTCTTTTCTGTTTGTTTCTATTCTTTTTTTTTTCTTTTAAAAAGTCATCCAACTACCCATGTGGATACTTATTTTATTAGAAAACTGACAAAAATTATGGCTTGCCTATGTGGTACAGACCACCCAAGAATCTATTACTTTGCACTAATTAGTGAATATCTGTATCTGTGCATTACAACTGTACAGTTTATAAATGAAGCCTGCTAATTAGGTTTGCTGTTGTAAGTGTTTCAGTTCATAGTTTTGTTGTATGTTGGATACATCATGTTAATTTAGTGAATTCTGGTCTCACTAGAGTCAAAAGGAGGGTGAAGCTTTACCATGTCACTGACATGTTGGCCAGTGAGTGTGCAGTGTCCCTCAGTTTCACAGTCCTGATATAAACTGGCGAAAATGCTCAGCCTGAAACTTCACAACCTGACTTCTCTAAACATCAAGGTGGCTATATCCATCTTTTATTTAAAATGTATGTTGTCTTGATGCATGCTCAATCATCCAGGTAAGTAAATCTCCAAAAGTTGATTCTGTTCATCATTTGGATGAGTTACGAAATGTTTCTCCCACGCTACGTCCAGATGAACAGAATCAACTTTTGGAGATAAAATGTATGATCTCACAAGAAATGTGTGGCTCAAATAAGAGATATTTTAATCATTAATTCATCACTACTAAAATTAAATCAAATTTAGCTTCCATTAATGCTTATAGAAAAATTGGACAAATGGTAGCATTTGCTTGATCACGTGATCAATGCCAAACCTGTAGCATGTATAGTTTATCTCTGAAGTTCCATTGGGTAGGATCCAGTCACCTTACTGTAAACAAACAAAAAAAAAAAGCAGAGAGAATGCCCCTGACAGGGGTGTGCCTTCTTTTCTTCAGCAATACGTTTTGTTTTCTTCCAAAGTATGAATAAAAAATTAACCATATAATATTACAAGTTCAAATGACCACCTAAATATAATTATCACA